GCACTACTTTCTGCTCCTCGGCTTGAACACCACCTAAGCCACTGAAGTGTTGCAGAATATGGTTTTAAAGCCATTATTTTCATCGTATTCACTAATGATCATGTTAGCCTCCATGGCTGCGTGCGCCTCACCAGAGGGTTTAAAACACCATTTGTCTCAGACAACTTTGATTCGAACCTTTCCGTTCATCTCAAGACAAGACAGTAAACAGGCTAACCTTAGTATCACAGTAAGTCCTTCCTTTGAGGCATTTGTAAAACAGGCTTTAAAAATATTTTTTTTTTTGCTCCAAAATGTTAGTGTTATTTCATGCGCTCATTAAAGGTGTGTATTGATTTATTGCTTTGACCTTTACTCAAAATAAAAATAGCATTATGGAAAGTATTATGTAGTTTTAACAGCTGACTGATCTTTGCTTTCAGAATGAGAGAGAACAGATAATGACGACCAACCTGTGGCTGTTTCAGGTACCTACAGTCTTTTCTCTGCTGCCCAGTTCTTATACAGTACCTTGTATGGTCAGTATTTGGTCTTTTGGTCATAGCTACAGTTACAATAACAAAGGCTCCTCCGCAGGAATGGAACGACTACAGGTTGAGATGGGATCCTGAGAAATATGAAGGCATCAAGAAATTGCGAATACCCTCCAAACTTATCTGGCTTCCTGATATAGTGCTCTATAACAAGTAAGTATGCAAATTTGATCCCAACCGAGAGAGACTTGGCTGCTTTTCTGAGTTTAATTTATGTGATTTGTACATTTTTTTTACTATAAAAAAACAATTTAAAGCAGGAAAACGAATTCCTGTGGAGGCCTTGTGTGAATGGATTAAACCATTATTTTATTAAACCGTTCTTAATATTATGAGGTTTTTGATCATTACCACTCATGTTTTACACGTTGTTACTAAAATGCAAAGTATTTCAGTGGGAGCTGTGTAATTAACAATTTCCACAAACCCAGTTTCTCTTTATTATTAGTGTTTTATATTAACATTCCCATATGGTCTAGTGGCTAGGATTCCTGGTTTTCACCCAGGCGGCCCGGGTTTGACTCT